ATGGACTCATCTGCCACCTGAAAGATGAAAGATAGGCTAACACACTTCGCAGCTGGAATGCTCACAATACCTCTCATTCGTCCCAACCTTCGACACCCCGAGACACTCCATGATCTCCAACGGTCTCTACGCTCTCGCTGTCGAGCAAGTGTTGAACGAAACCGAGCAAAACAACAACAGCCCTGGCAAGGACTATTCATTTCAGCCCGAAAACTATCCCGTAATCTGGACCTTGCCAGATCTCGACAAGCAAATCAACGCCTTTCTAACTACCAAGAAGCCTCGGACTCCGCCGACGGAGACCCTTTGGGTGTTCACCTTTGGCGCCTGGGACATTTGGTCCCTCGCCTCGATGCCTTTGGATATCAGCAAACCCTTGATTGGTCCCTTAACTGATCACATCTTCGGGCGGATCGAGCGGCTGTACCAAAGCGCCCTGGATGAGCAGTCTGTTGCGTGGTCTGATATCTACAGCGACCTGCGGCGATCCAATAGCAGCGCTACTAACGCCACGGCGGGCAACGATGGGGAATTAAAGGCGCAAACCGATGCAGTTCGAAACGGAACGGGCATGTTCCGAGTCCTGGTCCCCAACCTATTCGATCCCTCTTTGACTCCTGGCTGGAGGAATATGCGCCCTACCTTGTCCGAGGTCCACTCCAAGGCCGAGCAGATGCGCAACGCTGCAGCTTTGACAATCGAGTGGAACATGCAGCTCCGGAATAAGATGGAGGCGTGGGTGAGGACGCCGGATCCAGAACCCGAAGTTCTCGGACTTGGCGAAGCCCCAAGCGAGGAAGAGGCCGCAGACGGTGCCCAAAACCCAGCTCAACCAGGGAGCGAGGTTAAATTCGACCAAGGCGTGGCAATTCCTCCACCAAACGATAGCCTCCCCGTCCCAGCAAGGAAAGGGGTGAATCCGGTGATTGGCGGACAGAACCATGTGACCCCTGCACAATCGACTCATCGCCGGCAAAGGAGACGAAGGGACGGGGAAACATCAGAAGCAGCGACAGTGGCGCAGGAAGCGGAACCTGCTGCTGGCGGTCCAGCGCCGAGACGCCAATATCCCTTGAGGGATGGCATCATCTATGACATGCCCGAATATCTCATGGACGTTATCGTCGACCGACAATTTCGCAATGCCGGTATCGAAGATGCCAAGGGCACCGGAAAGAAGCCCACTAACCAGGGGTTTCTAGAAGTTTGGCTGCCGTGCATCGACGAGACTCCGGCTGCGGAGGACGTTGATGTTGATGTCGATTCTGGGGAGGATGACAGGTCTGACACTGCCTATGAGAGGAGACGTTCGGCACCTAACATCCAAGGGCGGACCATCAATCAACACCGCAGTCACAATACAACCTCATCTGGATCCGTGAATGTGGCGTCCGAATCGGAAGGCGAGACTTCAATGATGTGCGAGGCGCCGCATGAGCACCTTTTCTACACGCCGTTCACGGTGTCATCGAGGGCCATTGCCGAGATCGCACACCAGGCGGCCGACATGGTCCGCAGGAACGAGACGGTTCGCGCACGCTGGAAGACCCTCAGGTTACCCGGGTTGCACGGGCTCGGAAGCTGACAGCTAGCCGTCGGCGGATGCCAGCTCCTCGTGGCTGGAGTGGTTTTCCTGCTAAGACGGCACTATTATACGGAGGATGAAATTATCCCGACATGAGCCATTCATGATTGCATATACCCATTTTTGTTCTTCACATTCTATCAATTATTTACTTTGTCATTTTTGCATTAGTGGCGTTTGGAATATCTGTCGCATTTATTGTTTTAGTTGTATATAGGTGTCTTTTATTTGGTTGTACATAATGGATATTACATGAATGTGTGATCCTAACGTTTCATTGTCACGAGCAAGTACGGATACCACAAATGGTGCTCGCGTGCCACGTGAACAATGACATTTTTTAGCGTGGACCCACAATACAGACAGTCTACTTCTTAACCAGCGCTTTGGGCCGCCAGTACGGAGTACTACACTCTGATCCTTGAAAGTTCGTTAGTTTGTGACTTCCAAGCCTTAACCGAGAGACTAAAAACTGTCTGCAGCCAATTAAATTATCTGAAAATTATCAAGGACCAGGGCGAGACAGAGCAAAACTGGAGACATGAAGCTATATTCTGCGCTGACCTTTCTGTTTTGGTCAAAATGTTAAGGGAGAACCCTGAGGCCGGCAAGGGCATCTGGGCTTTCGATTGGTGGTGCATGGATAAGTGCCCGAGAGAAAGAAGCGAAGTGGGGGAATTCACCGTACTAACGAACTTCCAGGGGTATGTATTGTAGGTAGCTGGACGTCTCGAAAAAGCCACATTTTTTAAGCGTGGGGAGCCGATTGGCTATTGACCCCTGTACGCCAAAAAAATGTCATTGTTCACGGCCAAAGGGATGTGCATTTCGCGGCAGGCAAACGCTCGCCGCTATCTTTCCTTCCCTCGAACCTTTGACCTCCTTCCATCGTTATTATCTCTCTCTTATCTCTCTTTTGAACATTCCTGCTGCCAATCGTATCGTAAACACGTTCCCGAACGATGTCCGAAGTATTGCGACCATGAACCGATCATTCTCCTCCTCGTCGTCGTCCTCCTCCTCCGGCCTGTTCCAGGTCCCGCTACCGATGCCCGGTTCGCCGTCGTCGTCATGGGCCATATACCGCGCTCGATTCGCCAGCATCTTTCAGGGTGCCGATAGCTCGGTGTTGATCGCGTTTTGGCTGTTTGGGCTGATCAACAACGTCTTATACGTCATCATCCTGTCAGCTGCGCAGGACTTGGTGGGCACCGATGTGCCCAAAGGGGTGGTGCTCGTGGCGGACGTGCTGCCCAGCTTTGCGACGAAGCTGGTCGCTCCGTACCTTATCCATCGCGTCCCCTACGCACAACGGATTCTGGGGCTGGTAGGACTGTCTACCGCGGGGATGTTGCTTGTCGCGGTCACGCCGGCGAATAAATCGGTAGCGGTGAAACTGGTGGGGGTCGTGCTGGCGAGCTTTGCCAGCGGCTTGGGGGAGCTGTCGTTTCTGGGGCTGACGCATTACTATGGGCAGATGTCACTGGCGGCCTGGGGCAGTGGCACCGGCGGTGCTGGGTTGATCGGCGCGGGCTTGTATGTGCTCATGACGGACTGGATTGGGTTCAGCGTGAGGGCTAGTTTGCTGGCGTCGGCGGGGCTGCCGATGGTGATGTTGGGGAGTTTCTTCATGGTGCTCCCACGGGGGCCGTTGCGGGAAGGGACGAGGAGGAGGAAGGAATATGAAGCTGTTCGGGGTGACAGTGCGGAGGAGCAGGAGGAGGAAGAAGACCAAGAGGTGGAGGAGGTGGAGGAGGGCATGGTATCTTCGACGACCCTGCTTCGACAGCAACCATCAAACGCATCCGCAACACAGCAACAGAGAGGTGGGAAGCATACCGGGGGGAAGAAAGAGTTTGCTGCTCGAGTTAGACAAGTTCGGACACTCTTCTTCCCGTACATGTTGCCGCTTTTGCTGGTGTACATCGCCGAGTATACCATCAACCAAGGCGTCGCGCCTACCCTGCTCTTCCCTCTCCGGGAGTCGCCGTTTACCGAGTTGAGAGCCTTCTATCCGTTTTATAACTTCCTCTACCAGCTTGGGGTCTTTATCTCGCGCTCGTCGACGCCGTTTTTCAGGGTGCATCACCTCTACATACCCTCCCTTTTGCAGATTGCCAACCTCCTGCTGCTCACGCTGCACGCGCTGTTCAGCTTCATCCCGTCGGTGTACCTGGTGTTTATCGTGGTGTTCTGGGAGGGTCTGCTGGGCGGTGCCGTCTACGTCAATGCGTTCGCGGAGATCTTGGAAAGCGTGCCGATCGAGGAGCGCGAGTTCAGCCTGGGCGCTACATCGGTCAGCGATAGCGGTGGTATCTGCATCGCGGGATTTATCGGCATGGCGATGGAGGTCTGGCTCTGTGATTGGCAGGTGCAGCATGGGAGGGACTGGTGTCGGAGGATCAAAGCCAGCTGAAGCTTATATCGATCTGCCGAAGCACACGATCCCTTTCAGCGCAATTTTAAAGCAAATATGCCGCTCCCGATTACCTACAGCAAGCCACTTGCAGCTAACCGGCGGCCGACGCAACCATTCCCATTAGGACCTGCAGACTTCCTGAGCAAAGAAGTCAGGACACGCTTCCCACAAAAGCGATAATCTACGCTTCAGCATGCTCAATGGGGATCTTCTTGTGGGTATCTGGCCAGTGCCGCTGTCCACTTCTTTTTCTTCGGACAGAAAGCGTCAAGGTCTCCTCCACTTGCGGAAGTCTGGAATCCCCTGGTTCGTGGAATTCCCAACAGTTAAGTTAGCTCATCAAAAGCATAACATCATCATGATGCTAGAGCACCATCCATACCCCAGAAACACGCATGCACATAGCACATACGGCCATAGATGGTGGAAAACTCGGGATCCCGTCCGCTCTCCCATAGATAAGCCACCAATCGCCTGACTAGTAGTTGGGTCGGTGACGACCAGCGAATCCCAGGTGCTGTATGTTTTTTTTTGTGTCTGCTTTTTTTTTTTGGGGGGGGGGTGTCCGCTGTTTGTGAGTTATGTCGCACATCTGTGTGCAACGATGTCTACAGGTACTCTACCTGAAGGAAGCCAGACCCCTTAAACTTACGCTTTGCAATGATAGGAGTCTTGTGGGTTGGGTCCTGGTGGTGACGCCATGTTTTTTTTTTCCCCTTCTCGACCCGAGCCCGTTAGGGTTTCGAGATGGGTGACAGCTGGCTCACCAAGGCACATCACTAAAGGAGCGGGAGAAGATTATGGGGTTTTGACCTTAGGGAGTGAAGGCGGCATAGCAACTTTTCCTAGCTGGGTTTGTGGTGCTTGGCACATAAAGGCGGTGAAGGGGAAGGGTTAGTGGTTATGCACTCGGATTACCAAGTATAGGGGTTTAAGGGTTGAGATGCCCGCCCCGACCTCTCAGCTCACCCAGCTACGAACTTGGCAAATCTGATTGGTTGTATAGTGTAGCGGTTATCACTCCGGATTCTGATCAAGTCAAAAATTTGATAATGATAAAACTTCCGGCAACCCCGGTTCGATTCCGGGTACGACCTTGTACATGAAGTCGTTTACGTTTTTTTGCTTGGCATCCGATGGATCGGACATGTTTGGAACGGGGTAGAGAAGGAATGGGCTAGACGGCTGTTCAGGTTAGAAAGGAGGGCTAGGGAAATGTTGTATTTTACCTATGACAAGATAATCCATATGACCAGAGGTAGTTACAATAAAAGGGGCAATAGGAGGGAGATTCCTTGATTTGGTTGAGAGATGTTGAGACTACCTTGTGCTTCACACAATTAACACCTTACAGGCCTGACCCTACCTTATGGTCTTATTAGGGGGATGGTGCCTGCCACTTCTCCTGCTCCTTTTCTGTTTCCTTCTTATGCTTCGTCGTCTTGGCTTCCTTTAGGATTTAAATGTCTGAGAGCAGCTCTTTCTCATCGGGTTTTTAACAAAACAAAACTCTTAATCTCGTTCTTTAACTGACTTTCTTTCTTCATCTCCAGCCGAGTCGGAGGGGGGGGGGGGGGGGGAGGCTGCTGGCTGAGGTATCTCGTCGTCGTGCGCTGAGCTGAAGGGGGTGCAATGCATCAGATAACGCAAAAAGGCGGGTTTAGCTCAGTTGGGAGAGCGTCAGACTGAAGTCAAACTTCTTTCAATCATCATCATCATCATCATCATCATCATCATCATCAAATCTGAAGGTCATGTGTTCGATCCACATAAACCGCAAGTACGCAAAACTATAATTGTGATTTTTTGCTTTCACCACTGGTGGAAAAACAAAATTCGTGGAAGAGAGAGAGGGGTTTCGTCAGAGTTCACTGGCACTCATCATTTTGTTGCGTAAGTAAGTAACGAACGGTGTGTGCTGTCTCGTCTCAGTGATATTCCTTTAGAATCTTCTGGAGACTGGACGAGCCTATATATATATCATCACATATGGGGTAAACTTAATCATCACACATACTCATTCAGGAAGCTCAACGAGGGTATATATTTATCTAATGAAAAAGGTTGATCGTGATTCATTGCGACGGCCGACTCCACAAATCCCTCCACATCTCCTTGAATCCATAGTGCGGCGCCTTGTTGTCATATACCCGCGCGGTCGACTTGCCGAAGCGATCCAGCAAGCCATTACTACTCCTCCGACCTTGCCCGCCCGGGCCCGAGTCCAGGAGCGACTTTGGGGGTCTCGTTGCGCGCTCCTTAATCGCGTCAGCAAGCAGGGGAGCTACGTCAGCGAAGCAACTGTTCAGCTCCCTCTCTAGCGAGAAATACGGCTTTTTTGCCAGCTCCGGCGCCATTAGGTTGTAAGACCTGGTGATGGCGTTGAGATTCGTAATGGCCAGTTCCATATAAGACCGTTCGGTAGCCTCCCACTCTGGATCCCTGAATGGTCTTGTCAACGTCGCTTGTTGGGGCGCAGCAGCACCGCCGCCATCCCCATTATCCTGATTGCCGGAGGATGATGCCTGCTGGCGCATCCTGACTATAACCACGTCCTCTGTGGAATTGGTCGGCACGGAAATCTGATCGACGTTTCGCCTCCGGGGATTGTGAACCTCTTCTGCTTTGGCGTACTCGGCCGCTCGATGCAGCTGGTCTTGCAGACTCCCACCCCGGCTAGAGATCATCCTTGCCGCGTGTCGCTTCCAGTCGCTGCGCAACCTCGCCCGAAATACGTTGGCCGCTTTTAATAGTTCCTGCTGCTTCTCGATCCACGGCGGGACGATCTCTTGGCGTTTGATCATCTTGTTCATGATATACTCCGTCTACGCACGTCAGCCTTAACCTCTCTCCGCTATGAACCAAGATGGCCCTACGGTATCAACAAAGGGGTTATCGGCCCTCGTATCCCGCTCGACCCCTTTTCCACGGGGTATGTTCTTGAACTGTCCTCGCGCGATGGCATCCTCGATCCTTACCGCCACGTCAGCGGGCACGTCCCTCTTCTAGTGCTAAGGGGGAACGTACCGTTCATTAGCCAGCGCCGCCAGCCCGGAAATGGTATTCGGCATGGCTCTTGCTTCTGGTCTAAACCTATCTCTAAACTCCCTTCTCATGGCCTCCCTTTCCTCCTGACTCAATCCCACCTCCGACCCCTTGATACCCATACTTGCGTACGTGGCAGCCTTGTCCCGTGCACTCGCTGCCCGTTGACCGGCCGACATTGCTGGATCCCTCTGGAACCGCATATCTACGGGCTGGGGGGTAGGGATCTTGGCCTTCCCCCGCAGACCGGGTGCCAGAGGCTTCTGCGCGTCGGTCAACATCCGCAGTACCGCATCTTGGGTGCTTTCTTCGCCCGTCCAGGGCTGCGCGGAAGCAGTACTCCGGGTGCCCTGCCCTGCTGCCTCTGGTATCTTGCTGGAAATGCCCGCCTCGGAAAAAGCGGAAATGTTGTCATTGCGAAACTGTGCGTCGGCGAGTTTGTTGAGCAACTTCGACTTGAGCTCCTCACTGAAACCGGCATCTTCGAGAACGGAACGTCGACCGGCCCGGCCGCCGCTCAACAGCGCTTCTTCGGTTGCTGCTTCTAGACGGCGCGAGAGGGCGCCTTGTTCTTTCTCTTCGCGCGGAGGATCTGGGGGTTGGGAAAGGTCGGGAGAGGATGTTGTATTCGCATCATCGGATTTGTGTGTGGCTTGATCGGCCCCCGCGCTCAGGGGAGTGGGTGTTTGTGAGAATGCTCGAGAAGGACGGAGCGGTGGCAGCGTTTGTGAGCGGCGCGCTCGGAGAGCCCGCGTGCAGCGAGCGCATACGAACGGCGCTGAAGACATTCTCAGAATAAAACAAAAAAAAAGCGGTAAAACAACGATTGAATCAGGGCAGAAAGGAAGGGGTATAGGAATGCTCAAAGAGGCTGAATTGGGAAAGTTTTGTCGCATTCCGAGCCATCAATGACGCAGGTCGCGGCGAGGAAGCGATAAGTTCACTCCGGGACAGTAATCGCCAGGGTGCGGCACTGTACGCCACAATCCGGTCGACAGGGTTTCCCCACTTACACGCGAGGCTTCCTAGTTAGGACCAAGGGAGCTTTTACCATAAAATACAAACATCGAGGTTCTCTGGAAATGATTGCACTTAACGCTCGTGTATTGATTTTGGTACAGCAGTAGTTCTCAGCCGAGCACTCTCGTTTTTCTCATCATTCACCTACCTAGGTAATTAAACTGTCGTGGTTCCATCACTGCCAAGTTCTCTTCCACGGGCTTCAAATCAAAACGAGGAGGCGAGAAAAAAAAAAGTAAAACGCACCTTGTGAAAGTTGTTATTATTGTTTCTAGACTCGTTACATTACTCACAAACACTTCCTACTGCCTCCGAATCTGTTTGAGGTAGTAATTATGTGACTAGATACCAGTGTCTTGTGAACGTCGCGCAGACATCTGTCTGTTTTGAGTGAGACAATAGCTTATGTTGAATCCTGTTGAAGCTAGCTCTTAGACATAATACAATCTAGCAAAATGCAACCTGATACCAGTCACAAGGCCTCGGAAGTTTTGCAGCGATTCTCTGAGAACGAACGAGAACGAAACTACGTGTACACGTGACAGGTCACATGAAAAACTGAGGAATCCACACAAATTGTCCCAACCCGGCCATGCACATCTTACTTAGCACTGTATTTACTTGCCGTTCCGAAAGCCTTGTTAGAGCTGAATCGGCCCCAAAATGAATTTCTTCAACCCCTTCCGCGCAGCCAAGTCAGATTCAGAATGGTTCTCGGTCGGCCTGGCCTCTTCTTTTCCAGACATCGACTCGGACAATTTATTCAACCTCGCAGAACCACGGCTCTGCGATAATCCTTCTTCCACCTCAGATGTTATTATTAAAGTCCCAGGGTGCAGAGTCTTTCACGTCCCTTTGGGCTCTCCAGCCTCCCAACGGACTGAAGTGCCTCTAGTATTATCAGATATTATGGAGGGCACCACCTCCGACATCGGATCCTCCAAACCCAGCTCATCACCAGATTCACCGAATGCAACAAACCACCCACCGGAACCAGAGAAGCAGCCAGAGGAGGAGGTGATGAGAGATTTGAAGGACCAGGTCCTGGTATTTCAATACAAGGGCAAATTCCACGCGATAGATCACGTAAGCCCCACCACCCCCAACAAGAATAATTCACTTCGCTTCGTTTGACAATAGAACTGACCGAGGTTTTGGGGGGGGGGGGGAAGAAATGCCCACACCAATCCTACCCCCTCTCCCACGGCATACCCTTCGATATAGAAGACTTTGGGATAGCTCTCAGTGCGGGCATAACGTGTCCGAAGCATGGGTGGTCTTTTGATTTGTTTTCCGGACGGGCGGACAGGGGGAATTATAGACTCAAGGTCTGGGAGGTTCAATTACGTGATGGTACTGGGAGCGAGGGGGACAAGGAGGTGTTTGTGAGGAGGAAGCAGCGAATGGGCTAGACTACGACTAATAATAGTAATAATCAATACAGATCATGATTATGAAGGTATGTAATATGTTACCTCCACAGGGGTTATAAAGGTTAGCGCGATGTCAGTGCGGTTGTTTCAGGCCGAGGCGAACGTGCTAGCAAATCATCTAATATAGTGAACCCCTGTCCAGCCCTTGTCTGCGCTAAGCTTTGCCTGCTGCTGCCTCGTCCGTTCCCACAAGAGTGGATCATGTTTTTTTTTTTCTAACTTCATAACATTATCATTCTTGAGTTCTATAAAAAACCGTAGTGTCATGCATCATATGTACATATATTGGTATCCACTCCTCCACTAATACCCGCGCCCCTTCCTTCATAGCTTAGGCTGTCCTGGACCCTGCTGAGCGCCCTTTAGGAACCAGCCGATGAACTTGTCCTCGGTCGTCTTGTTGACCTTGGTGTCCGGGTGGAACGGCTCCACGCCGGCGTTGAAGTACGCGGCGAGAGCCGTGTCGGCGTGCTCCTCGGCGTCGTATCCGTAGACGTCCAGCACGGTCTGCGGGTCGTCGTACAGGTTGCTGCTGCGGACGAAGTACTTGCCCTTGAGCTCGGGGGCCATGGCCCGGTCTCGCGCGTCCTGCTGGGGGCCGTCGGGCAGGTGCCAGATGGCGCCGTTGAGGAAGGAGACCTGCTGCTTCATGTGGGCCTTGGGCATGCGCTCCTCCTCGTAGATGCGCACCGCCTCCTCGAGCGGCAGCCTGCCCTCGACGACCTTGCCGAGGAGCTTGCCGAGGAAGGCACCGTCCTCCATCGCGGTGGCCGCGCCTTGCGCCATGTGGTTCACCATGGAGTGCGCCGCGTCTCCCATCAGGACGACGTTCTTGCGCGGAGAAGACCACGACTTCATGGGTCCGGTCACCATCAGCGGCCAGCGAGACTATAGGAGAGGGAGAGAGAGAGAACATTAGTGACGCTGCCAAGCTTCAGCTTCGTGGGAAAAGGTTTTTTTTTTTCTGGACTAACCGTGCTCTCGACCATGTCAACGATCCTCTTGATACGAGGGTCGAAGTCCTTGTACTCGTTCCTGAACTCCTCGATGGGGACATTGGGCTCAGTGGCGCGCACCTTCTCCGGCCGGTGGTGCGAGAGGACGAGGTTGAACATGGTGCCGGCGGTGATGGGATACGTGATGATGTACGCCTTCTCGGCCATCCACACCTCCATCGTCAGCTTGTCAACGATCTCCTTCGCGATCGGGTCCTTCCGGATCTGCTCATACGGCACCAGGGCGCGGTAGGCGGCGTTGGTAGTCGGCGGCTCAGGCTTCACG